TAACAAATAAATTTCCAATCAGTTTTGTTACGGACTTTTATAGCTACAAAAATGCTCATCATAATCAGTTGTATGAAACATAGTTAAAAGAAAAAATATATTATTCAACTTCTTGCAATAGATTATAAACTGTATTTGACTAAATATGGGTAAATTATCTTTGTTATATGTTACAACAACATACATATCTTTGTTAAAAAGCGTTCCAAATATTCCGACCCATGAGCATATGGTTATTTTTTCGTTCATGTCTGAAAGCAGAACATGACTGAACAAAAGAATCTGACATTCAAATCCACATATTCCTCTTCGTATAAGAGAGAAATTAATTGATATAAGAGGAAATTCTCTTGAAATAAAAGGAAAACAGAATAATATCCAATAAATTTTAGATGAATGGTTCACTTTGATCGCTTCATCGAAAGAGGAATCCTTTTCCTATAAGAGGCTTCGTTTAGAATATGAGACTATGAGAAAAATCACTTTACAAATAGAATACTTTTTGTTGGGTGTAAATCAGGACAATATTACGGATTTATGATAATGTTTGATACAACAATAATAATATCCCTATAATCTGACATGTACCATAATTCCTATAATCTGACATGACTGATACACACCTCTATGTCTAATGCAATGTGCAGTTAGAAAATATCTAATATCCGATGTTAGGATTAAATGTTGAGGAAGCGGAAATATAGCAGAAGACCTGCTATTGAGACGCTTTTTGTGCACTCTCTTCTCACATTTCTCGACGCGTTCTTCGTCTCGCGTTACTGCTCGAAAGTTAACTGGCAATGCGCGAGCGATCTCGCAAGAAAACGAAAGAACACAAATGTCGCGAGTTCAAACATGCTTGTGAATTGCGTCGTTTCCATTTCGCATATAGCACATTCCTTCAAGTACGGCTCTTCGACCTCGCCAAGCTTAGGCTCTCTCGAATTGCATCGCTCGCCGTTTATCGCCGACGTCGCGTATTTCGTTAACAATCAAGGACCCTTTCATGTAACGCCCCGCCGCGCTGGCCGTTGTTTGTGCTCCCGGTTTGTTGTCCTCCGCATTACAGATGGTAATCGTTGGAGGAACATTTCCGCCGCTCGAGCGCAGATCGCTTTCGAATTCCGCGCGTCGGGCGTTCATAAGTTCCGAAATTGTTGCGGGAAAACGCGAGGCGAATTTTAATGCTGTCGGACCCACGCAGGGACTCCCTATGCTCGTCGCGGAGATCCTGCAATAGCGATTGCAAAAGTAGCCGAGCGACTATTATAGCGCTGGACGGTTAAATTGGAAGTGGTCTATCGGCGAAGACCGAGCGCGCTCCCGACAGACCGCTTTATTGCGAGAGCACTTCGATTCATTATACCGGCAACGTGTGCAACGTGAATCAATTTGACTGTCCTAAATGAAGGGTTTAATCCTCGAAGGTAGCGATTCGCGGCAAGGTGGTATACCTCGATATAGTTAGAGAGAGAGAGAGAGAGAGAGAGAGAGAGAGAGAGAGAGAGAGAGAGAGAGAGAGAGAGAGAGACAGGTGCATTAGCAGTGGGCGCGCATTGCGAGCGGAGGTGCTCGGCGCACTTGCTGAGTGAAAGCGCACGACGCGCATTATAATGCGCCGTCCATCGTGCATTATACATGTATCATGCTAATTAAGGATCTATCGAGCGGGTCCTATGGCGTTCAATTAGTACATGTAAATGACAATCTCGAGTCGCGATATGTAAATGTAAAAATCTCTCGGAGCCTCTCGGGGGGACGGAACAAAATCGAAATCCTGCAATGGCCGAATCCGCTCGGTCCGAGAGCGTTGCACCGCAGGATTATGAGATCTGGTCAAGGTCTGGGGTTGTCCTGCAAACCGAATAAGTCCCGAAAATTGAAGGGACCAGGGGAATCGTCGCTTTCCTCTCGAGCCTTCCGCCGGTCATCTAGGAATTTCTGTTTGTCGGTGTATTCCGGACTCTCTCGGGATCTCGCGCGTCTCGCGCGAGTTTCGGAAATTTCCCTAATGGTCCCCGAAAGCTTTTCAATTTCCGTATGCATATCGTTATACCGCGCGGAGCCCTTTGCCCGCGCAAAGTTCACTTGTCATTCTCGTCGATATCCCTTCGATCGCCGCGAGTCCTTGAACTTGCCGCTTCGTTCCGCATGAACGGGGAGGGAGATCTATCATTCAAATCCACGTCGCGAGCCTGGTCGTACAAGGAAAGAGTTGTTATCCGTGACAGCATGAGCACCCCCGACAGCATTGATTCCACTTTACCATGGTGAGACGGCGGAGAGAGGGTGGGACGTGAAAGGATAACGATATACGTGGGCCGTAGGGAAGGAGTCCGATCTACATCCTGTGAGGATTGTTCGGAGCAGGAGCGAGTGCTAGTGTCGTGTATACATTTGCCGACGCGGGGAGGAGGTCTTCATCTCACTTCGCGTCCGCTCGAGCGCGAATCTCCTCGGGGTTGAAAGGAGTTGAGACGACTGTCGGCGGGCTTCTCCCAGTTTCCGCGATACACGCCTACAGAGCGTTTCAGGGAATTCTTTTATACGCTACGAGATTTACGTGACAAGCTGTTCTCTTGGTAGATCTCGGCAAGATCTCGGCCTCGCTCCTCCGCGGGAGTTTCCCGTCGTCGTCAGCATCGATCAGCGAGTTACTCTTTACTTTAGAGGGTACATTAGCGTGAAAATTTATTTCATTTAGCGGAGGCTTCCACAATCAGCCAACTGGAAAATATGAAAATTCTTCCGTCTTTGCGGATACTTCAGCTCTCGGAACTTCGCCGTCTTCCTAATACCTTCGCAACGTAAGAGACTTAGAGCGCTTTAAACCCAGCCAAGTGCCGCGCCAAGTAATTTTCGCTCTCCCGAGAGAGAATCTGGCCTTTTTCGGAAATTTGCTTAATTCAGCGGTGACGTTTCGACCGGCAAATTATTCGGTCTTGTAAATAAGAGAGCCACTTGGGCTGAATATATAATCGCTGAGCCTTCGCAGAAGGAGGAATCGATCGGAGGGAATTCTTTCGAGAATAAAATCCAGCCGCTGATGTACCCTTTTCGGCCGCGGCTGGTGTAATATTCACGCGGCTACACCGCTTTGCACTTTTCACAGCGGCTTCGAGGGTCGTGATCGATGGCGAATGAATTAACGTTTCGCCACAGAGCATTCCTACTGGCGATAAATATTCAGCGAACGGTCTCGATCTTCGCTCTCCTCGAGCTCGATTGTGAACTTTCATCATTTATCATTGACTCTCGTGAGTTATTCAGAGGATTTCGAGAAAGAGAGACCACCGAGGCTGAATAAGCCGCGGGTGTTTCCAGGTACGTAAATATCCAACACTTATAAATGTCGCGAATCATCCGTAACGAAGACGCGACTGTCGCGCGAACGCAATAGAATGCCCGCCCGGTAGCTTACAACGGACGACGAAGTCCGTTTTTATTGCAATTGCAATTTTGATTTTATCGTCGCCATCATGTATATACTGCATCGCACACTCCACGGCCGCTTGAGACGATTTGACACAAGCGACGTAATCTCCGATTTGCTTGAGGCTGGGGCTCGATGAATATCCGAATACCCTCAAGTTAGAGTGACGATAATCAGATAAGATCAATGAGAACAATAGAACAGCAGGTGCGTGCAGGCGTCGTGGTTCGCGTTCGCCGGCTGTACGCTCACGAGCGTCGAATTTGTGACGGCGATATTCTTCCGCTGGTAATTCGATTACCAACTCTTCGGGCTTGCAAACATCGTGTTTGCATCGTGAACGCCAAGCAGCGGAGCCGCCGAGCTCGTGACACGCGCCTTCGGTATTTAACTTCTGAATTGCCGGCAAGCTCGCTCCCGCACGCGAGCGAGCGAGCAGCTCGCGGCGAGTTTACAAGAACCCCGGCGAAAGTTTGACTGACCTATTAGCGGGTCAAGTGTAAATTAATCGGCCGCCCGGTGGGTGCAAGTTGCTTGCAACGCTGCCGCTCGGGAAGCTCCGCGCCTGTTTACGACTTTCATCCACGTATGCGTATCCGCGTCCAACTGAGAGGGCTTCATCACGCTCGCTCCCGCGGTCATGCGATCCTCGCGAACTCTCTTCAATCTAAATGCCAGTGTCTTTCCCCGCAATCTCAAGCTCTCCAAGCGAGAAGAATCGTAGCAACACGCAAGCAACACGTCGTCGCACAGTGGGGCCAGATGACATTTTTTGGTTCAAAATCCTCTAGAGACCTGAATTTTCAACCGATCATCGACACCGATGAATAAGGCTGATCCTGGACAAATTCCCCAGAGATCTGTCTAGGCGAAATTTTGAAAAAATTATCGGTTCAGGGTTCATGGGTTTGGGGTTTGTCTTGAAAGTTTATCGTTTGAAGTACAGTGTCTTGGGTTCGACCTCAATGGATCCGAAGAGTCGATGCATCCGAGAATTCTCGGATGTTGGATTGAGAATTGAATATATGTTGCAGGCTCGGTGGTTTCCGCGTTCAGGCCCTAAAGGTTTTGAGCTAATGGGCTATGGGATCCCAAGCTCCAAGATTAAGAGCTATCGAATATTCGGGATTTGGCATTCAGCATTTCTAGGTTCCAACTTAATGTTTTGTAGCTGAATTATTTTGAGCATATGAGTTTCGGGTTAATGGGTTTCTGGTTCAAGATCGATAAATCTCTCGAGGTGTCTGTTGATTGTCTTCATAGTTTAAATCCGCTGAATACGCTATTAGATAGAAATAAGTGTCGAACAATGAATATTTCACAAGTATCTCGCGTTTAACGATAATTCTTCCTCTTTTGGGGGGGGTTAGTAATTCGAGAGAAAAATTTTTGTTTACATTTCGACAGGACAGATCTCTTCGGAATTTGTTCAGGATCAGCCTCATCTATTGGCGTATCGACGATCGGTTGGAAATTCAGGTCTCTAGAGAATTTTCAACCAAAGAATGTCGTCTGGCCCCACTGTGCTCGCGAATGAACGCTACGCGAGACTTGGGGTCACACTCACCTTGCTGTAAATGCCGGCGCTGGACAGTTCGTTTTCGATGACCATTATGATGATGCCAAACATGCCCATCACGAGGGCGTAGTCGCTGATGCGCTTGCGCTTCTCGAAGAGGGCCTTCCGCTTGCCCAGCCGGTAGCCGACGTTCGGCTTGTGCTTGGACCCGGGCCCGATGCTGCCACCGCCGGACTGGCCCTTGAGGGAGCCGCCACCACCGCCCAGCATGCGATCGTCCATGTAACGGGGGTATTCGTTGTGGACGCTCACGAGGGAGACTCCGGGGTCCTCGCCGGCACCGGCGCCCCCGGCGCTGCCGCAGCCGGCAGCCACTCCTGCCGCCCCCGAGCCGCCCCCGCCGGCCACCCCGCCACTGTTCTTCATCGCCCCCGGGATCGAGAGAGTCGACACTGGCTTCCGCAGCTGGAACAGCGCGAGCAGGACGATTAAAGCGGGAACACGGTCGGGCTGAAGCGGTGTGTCGCGTCGGAGCTCAAGCTCGCGCTTGTGCGCCGCTTATTCTTGTAATATGCACAGGTGGAGTAGGGTGGTTGCAGAGGGGAATAGTCTCGCTAAGGTAATCTGACTTTACCTGCGTACTTGCCTGTTCCGCGACCCAGGGCGCTTCTCTCGGTCTCGATTATAAATTCGCATTGGGGCTAACTTCTCAGTGTCTCTCGGTGCCTCGTTCTCGCGCGCGCGCGCGCGCGAGATGATAACGCGATTCCCCGCGCTTGGAAGTGTTTCAGGGCGTGTGAGTGAGTGAGTCGAGTCGCGTAAAAGTTGTGCCAAGTCACGCGTTCAAGAGACGAAAAGCGGAAAAGATTTAGGACAGGCGATAAGGGGGAGTAGCTCGAAAAGTAGCGAAAACGAGCGCTCTCTTCCTTCCTACGGAGGAGAGTAGATTCGCACTCTCAGTAGAATTGCACGAATCAATGAAGGCGACTCCAATGCAATTGCAGAGGCACATATTAACACATACATGTACTACGACGTGTCACTTTTTGCAGTCTCGCGCGCGCGCGCGCGTGTGTGTGTGTGGGTGTGTGGGTGTGTGTCTAAGGTGTTTGCAGAGTTATTCAAATATTATTTTACATTGGACTTTCCTGCCTCCGCAGGCCGTCGGCAGCGCAGGCGACACCGCTTTGTTCCCTGCCAGAGAGACTCTTTCGCTGTATCTTCATCCGCTTTTCGCTCAAATGTAACCGATCGTTAAACCATTCGCCAAACGAACGACGCCTGTCGCAGAAGGACGGCCAGATAACAATCGTACAGTCTCGATTTATCGGACGTAATGTGGCGGGAGCGTGGGCGGTCGTGAGAAATCTCTTCCGAGCGAAACTTCCAAGAACTTCGGGACAGCTTTCGATCGACCGAAATTATTCCGTCCAGCCGGCCAGACGACGATACGAGCTAACGGGTGCCTCGGTTGCGCGCGGTTCCTTTACGATCTTCCCTTTCGTGTTGCGGCCCGGTCCCTCGTGCAAATCGAAACGATACGCTATCAAAAATTCAGCATCCCGTCCGAGGGCTTTAAATGGCTTTTCCCTGTAACAGAGCCGTAATTGTGTTATGTCTATCAGTTACGCCGAGCGAGCCGAAGTAGCCGCGCTTCGCGCCTTCGGGCGAAATTTCAGACAGCATAAATAAATGCGAGCTGGGATTTTAGCCGGCACGAAGGAGAAAAGTCGGGGTGTTCTCCCCGCTTTTTCTCTTCTCGCCGTTTGGAAACCCCCGCAGCGGCGTTCATTCCACCCCGGATTTCGCGCGCTGCTGTTGACGAATTGATTTTTTTTTCGAGTAAACAAACTCCGATGAAGAAGGCTGATCATGCCTGTTTCGTTGCTCCCACTGCTGTTGTTTTATCTGCAGCGCGACGTCCGCTCGTCCCCGCACGCCCGATAATACACCTGATTTTCACGTTGGGCGAATAAAGTCGACGGTTGAATTACTGGATCACTTTCTGGATCGCGAATGTAACAACACTGACTCACCGTTAGTCGCGGAAAATTCCACAGTGAAATTCGTGTGTCTGTGTGTGTGCCCCGACAGAGTTTTAAAACAAAGTCGACAAGCACCGAGTGAAAAATATGGAAACTCGTCGTGAAGTTTGCAAGATTCGAAAACGATCGGCTATCCACTCAACAGCGCAAAGTGCTGGGCTCGATCGGCCGCTTATTGCTACGCTGAATCAAACGTGACGTTAAAGTCGCTTTCTACGCGGTCGAGCCGATAGTTTCCCGTAGAATCGTTCGAGAGCGGTCACTGCGTGTCCAACCAATATCACGGAGTCATTAAGCAGCGGCAATTACCGACCGCGTCATTCGATATCACACACGAATTGTACGATGAAAGTTCTTTTCTCTCTAGAATGTTTCAATTTAGGAATTTTAAGCTGCGACGAACAAATCGACATTTTCTCCAATATGAACGAAATAATACGTGTGAAATGGCTTTTCCGTTCCATATGCACTGTTTCGGAAGAAGCTAAAGTTTTTGCTGTTAACGAATAATTAGAAAAAAAGCTGTTTACTAAATAGTAACTCAGCACAATAACTGGAGTTTACTATTAAAATCAAAGTATTTGTACCGCGTTCCTCAGCAAGATAAGTCCTGCCGATGGTCCTCTGCTGCACTGCTCGTGAGAAAGTAGCGGAACTCAAAATCTCATATTCTAAGCGAAGCCTTTTACAGAGAAAGAATTCCTCTTTCGATAAAACGATTAAAGTGAATCATTCATCTAAAATTTGTTAGATATTATTCTAACTGTTTTCCCCTTATTTCGAGAGGATTTCCTCTTATATCGATTCATATTCCTCTTACACGAAGAGGAATATGTCGGCTTCTTTTGTTCAGTCATGCTCTACCTCCAGACATGAATGAAAAAATAACCGTCATGGGTCAGAATTTATTTGGAACGCTTTTCAAAAAAGGTATGTGTGTTGCTGTAACATATAACGAAGATAACTTACCCACATTTGGTCAAATACAGTTTATAATCTGTTGCAAGAGGTTGAATAATATTTTCTTTCTCTTAACTGTGCTTCATACAATTGGTTACGATGAACATCTTAGTAGCTATAAAGTCCATAACAAAACTGATTGGCAACTTATTTGTTATGACGATCTTATTTCATTCGTGCCTACTTATTGTAGAACTGGAGCCAGAAGTACATCTAAATGTATTATTTTCCGCTATATATTGTACTCTTTTCAAATTAACCAGTATAACTAGCAAGAATAAAGTACAGTGTGAATAAATAATAATCCTCTTAAAAGAAGATTAAATAATTTGTGTATAAGAGGAAATTTATATTAAAATCAATAAGATTTGCATCATACATATAACATATAATCCCTCTAACTTTAAGAATAATATGTTTATAATATTTTTCTCTTAATCCTAGAGGAATCCTCTCGAAGCCATGTATTGGAAGCCAATATAAGAATAAAATTTTGTAAAATTTCAATGATTCCGCTCGTTCTGAAATTACTTTTTTTTGGGCATGTAGCGAGAATTTTTCTCTCTCTAGAATGTTTCAATCAAGAAAGCTTGACCTGCGAGGAAAAAGTCGATATTCTCCCCAATATGAATAACATGTGTGAATTGGGTTTTCCTTCTATTTCATATGCGCTACCTCAGAAGAAGTTCAAGCATGCTATTAACGAACAATTGCGAAAGAGCTGTCTACTCAACGGCACAACTCAACAATAATTGTGGAGTTTACTGGTGTTAAAATTAAAGTATCTGTACTACGTTTCTCAGCAAGATAAGCCCTGCTGATGGTCCACTGCTGCACTGCTGGTGAGAAAGTAACGCGGTCGACGAGAGAATTTATCTAAGAAAGAAGCTGTCTAATATTCTCCCCCCGCGCAGAGCGATGTCGCGATCGCCGTCGCTGCTTCAGGTTTACACACGATCGCCTTACTCGCTCCGTCCGCCAAAGACGAGCGGAATCTGAGCGCTCCACGCCATGTGGCTGCCTTGTCAGCCCGTATTTCGTATACACCATCCGATCCGCTTCATATATTGGACGCACCGGGCGTCGCGTCGCGTCGCGTCGCGCCGCTCCGCTCCGCTCCGTCGATGCACTCCACGTACGTTTGCATGCGTTGCACGGGGCGCATGCACCTGTCTGCCAGTGTATAGGGTGTACAGGGTTGCACACGTACGCGAATCTACGCGCGGTCTATCGATCTCCCGCTATATTTTCCGTGCGTAACGTCTTCCACGGGTGTTGGTTCCGTGAACCGGCGCAGGCGGCGGGGAGTGTCTGCGAAGGGGTGCTTTCTCTCTCTCTCTCTCTCTCTCTCTGTTTTTTCACTCCGTCCCTTTTAATCCGCCCGCGACTTCCACCAGGTGTTCCTTGTTCTTTGTTTTTTCTTTTCTCTCGCCCTCTCTCGAATAAATCGATAAAAGTGTCTGAAATTAAGAGGGTTTCGCGGACAACGGCGGCAGTTTCCCGGCGATATTAATTTACCCGCCATAACCGAGGGAGCCCTGGGCGTTCGAATTAATTACATGTCGAGATACTGTACGCTCAAGTATCGGCGCGGGGCTCGTTTTTGTTTCGTTCGCCGTGCCGCGACAGTGGAACATCACTCAACTATGATCTCGGGTAATCAACGGGGAGGCTGGAATGCACCGGCGGGGAGATTTTGCACGGCGTGACCCCGTGACCTTTCTCACGGGGGCTGAAGGGAGGCGGCGGCGGCGGCGGCGGCGGCGATGGCGGGAGAGGGAGGAAGGGGAGGAGGCACTGTGTGTGTGTGTGTGTGTGTTATATTGGGGTAGGACAGAAAGGGGAATACACAGAGACAGGATGGTAGTCATGGAGACCATGTCCCGAGAGGCTTCCTTAATTCAAAGCTTGATTGGCTCGAGCAATCTTAAACTTGTATATGCCTGATAAAGCTTCGCTCTCTTTCTCATCTTTGCCCCGCGATTGCTCATGACCGCGATAAGAGAGAAGAGCGGCCGCTATATATGCCTCGCACTACCTCCACCCTTGCTGGAACAATAACGCGCGGCAGCGTACTCGTCGACGTTCCCGGACGGTTTTAACCCCTTCAGATTCGACTCGATTGGTCTTTAAAGCGAGATCGTTCCAGCCGAACGATGGATCCGATTAGAATCTAATTCTCACGCAGTCGACGATACGATCAAACGGCATTGTTTTCTCAAGGGCTTTTTTACGCTAAGCGAGGACGAACCGAACTTGCAGTTTCTCGCGGCTCTCTGTTTCTTCTTCCTTTTTTCTTTTTTCTTCCTTATCAACTTGGGATCGCTCTCTTCCTCTCGTGTCTTTCTCCTCCCCCACCTTCCGTTATTTTTATGTTTCCTGATTTACAGCCCCCTCGCGCGCACAATGTTACGTCGCCGCCATTTCCGGGCGAATGATATCTCGCGACTTGGTCACGCC